TCAACCACAGAAGCTAGAGTTGTCTGGAAAGAGCAACTCTATTGAGAAACTACCTCCACCAGATTGGCCTATAAGTAAGTCTGTGGGGCACGTTCTTGATTAATGATGAATGTGGAGGGCCCAGCCCACTGTGGACAGGGCCACCTGTAGCTAGATGGTCCTGAGAGAGAATGAAAAACAGCTACATATGAGCCTGGAAAGCAAACCAGGAAGCCGCATTCCTCCATGGCCTCTGCGTCAGTTCCTGTCTTCCGTGAGTTCCTGCCCTGACTTCCCTTCATGATAGACGGTAAGCTGCAAAGATAACTGATCTCTCTCCTCCCCGAGCTGCTTTTGGTCATGGCATTTATCACAGCAATAGAAAGCAAACTAGGACAGCCACAAGGAAAAAACAGTCATCCCCAAGCCTACCTTCACTAACAGGAGCTTGTGCTGGCCGATCCCGGGAGGTTTCCCTGAAGAGGTCACTCTGGTTGTGGGAAGGCATAGGGTATTTTAAAATACAGAGATAAATAAGGCTGAACTTGAAGATTTCTGATAAGCATTACATATTTTGAAGCTACATGTTTACTGTCCTGTCAAAGGAAGAGCTGCCAAGTTCACACTACAGTGAAATGAACTTACCTTGGGCCTGTCAGGAATTAAATAAAAAGATGGGAGAGGGTAACATACAAATAACTCAAATCAATTATCCACTATTGATACTCTCACAGCCTCTCCTTGTGTCAAAGGACAAGAAGATACCAGATTATATAGTATTTCTCACTCTATGGTTCTGACTTCAACATGTCCCCCAAAATGAAAGTAGTAACTAACAGGAAGCTACTTTTCTCAAGCAAAAAACAGAGGTTTCTTCCTTACACACACAATGACACACATACAAAGAGCTTTGATCATTCGCCCACCTCACCTCATCTTCATCGTCGAAAAGTCCCTGTCCACTGAAGAGACCACCTCTAGAGCCAAACGGTGAGAAGTCTTCATCAGTCAACTTGGGGGGTGGAAACAAGATGTCCTCTTCATCTGACAGACAGCAAAGTTGCACAGGGAGTGTTAAAATGGGTGTGCACAAGGTGGTGCCACACTGCCTGAAATCCCACCATTCAGGAGGCTAAGATAAGAGGAATCAAAGTCCAAGAACAGCCTGGGTAGGCACGCTGGGATGGAGGCCAGATGAAACATAGGAATTCCAAACTAGCTTGGGCTATAAAGCAAGACTTTGCCTCAAATACACAAGGATGAAAGGGAAAGATGGAAAAGCTTGGAATCCAAATTCTTTTTTTTGTTTTGTTTGTTTTTTGAGACAGGATTTTTCTATGTAATAGTCCTGGCTATCCTGGAATTTGTTTTGTAGACCAAGCTGGCCTCGAACTCACTGAGATTCATCTGCCTCTGCCTCCCAAGTGCTGGGATTAAAGGCATGCACCACCACTGCCCAGTGGAATTCAAATTCTTGGGGTTGCCTCTATACCATATACATTGTTGGCATGGACTTTAATGAAGCCACAGCTCACAAGGAGTATTTGACATCCTTAAATGAGCAATATCTAGACAATCTCTTAGACTGACTTACTTGGAAGCAAGGATATAGCTCAACTGCCACATGTAAAAGTTTGAGAAAAAAAAAATCCTATAGATGGAGACAATGGCAAGGGAACACAATAGATGTCACTACTTAATATGGTAGAGTCAAATACAATCTTTACTGAAAACTTTAGCAACCCATAGTTCTTATACATCTAAAAAAAAAAAATCTAGAAAGACAGGTAATGCCTACTTTAGACCAGCAACCCAACTACTCACAAGCATTACCTCACACTACTCACAAGCATTACCTCACACTTGCCTTTGAGTGCCCTAAAACATGTTTTCAGATGCTTTAAGAAAACGGATGGAGACACAACCTTATTTGTCAGCACTTAACCGAGACTTTATATTACGCAAAGGCTCTAAATGAGTGAAGGGCTTACCGTCTGGAGGTGTTCTCTTTTCCTTCTTCTCCTTCATTGTCTTCTGAGGCTTTCCATCTGCTGAGCATAAGATCTATTAGACTCTCATTGCTTTAGCAATACTCAAAATTCTTGTTGGACAGGGACTGATTCTCTGCTCTTGAGTCTGCATCCTCATGACACAGGCCAAGAGCAGGACACTCAAGTTCATATCTCAGCTCCATTCGAGCACTTGCTCATGGGAGTGTCTCCACAAGGCAGAAGGCTGCCAAGGCATGTGCATACCAGGACTGTGCTAGAGAAGGAATTACTCTACCTTTCTACTCTGTGAAGTAACTAGAACACACTGGATATGCATTTTTATTAGTCAAAATGGAGTTACTGTTAAACCATGGATTCACAATCTGCTGTCCACAGTTCTCTGGGGTTCCTGTATTTCAGGCAGGCAAGATGTCACATAGTGTACACATGTGTTGGGGTGGGGGTAGGATAGTCAGAGCATCTAATTAGCAAGCAGAATTTAAGAGCTATTGACATAGCTTAAAGCAGTAGGTCTCATTGGACGGTGACCCCTTTGGGGGTCAAATGACCCTTTCATGGGAGTCGCCTAAGACCACAGAAAACACAGTACTTATGATTCATAACAATAGCAAAATTACAGTTATGAAGTAGCAACAAAAATAATTTTATAGTTGGGGGTGACCACGACATGAGTAACTGTATTAAGGTCTGCAGCAGTAGGAAGGTTGAGCACCACTGACTTAAAGAGTCAAAGTGCTTCCTACCAAGCTTGACAACCAGAACCACAAGACGAGGGAGGAGAAAACCAACTCTGCACACACATCAAGGCATGCACATAGCCCCACCCCCAACACAATGAATACAATGTAAAACAACAATAATAAAGGAGTCTAAGAAAACAATGACAAAAGATCAAGAACTAAAATATAAGCCTATCAGGCCTTAGTAATTAGTAAACCCCCATGTTTGGGTAAGGTACCTTATGTTTATGATCCCAGTACTCAAAGAAGGCAAGAAGATCAGGAATTTAAGACCACCCTAGGCCTGCATTGCATATTTGAGGCCAGCAAGGACACAGTTTCCCAAAAAGAAAAAGATATATAGACACAGAGAGAGACAGACCAACAGAGAACATGTGTGCGAGCAAGCACAAACAGACTACTGAATGCCACCAACCAACCACCCCATTATCCTGCCTTCAGAACTTACCTATCTGTTCCTCTTTGAGCTGATTTGACATATCTCCTTTGATCCGAGCTGCCAGTTCATCAGCAAAAGATGTAGGTCTTTTCTACAGGCAAAAAGAAAAAAAATCACCATTTTTCTAACAAATTAGTGCAGTTTATTTCTGAACACCTAACAAAATTATATAAATAGTCATAAAGTAATCAAACTACAAACAAAACAGGGCTTTTGTTTTTCTTTTTTAAGGTTTATTTTACTTTTATTTATGTGTGTGAATACACATGCAAAAACAGGACTTTTCTCAATGAATTTGAACATATGGAGCCTATAGAGCTCAACTAAGCAATAGAATTCACAAAATATCCCTTTAAAAGGAAATAGATACTCTTATGTCTTTATTTTTTAAAATACTTGAAAAAAATTTCTATAAGAAAACTAACATGGGCTGGAGAGATGGCTCAGAGGTTAAGAGCACTGGTTGCTCTTCCAGAGGTTCTGAATTCAATTCCCAGCAACCACGTGGTGACTCACAACCATCTGTAATCAGATCTGGTGCCCTCTTCTGGCTTGCAGGGATACATGCAGACAGAATACTATGTCCATAATAAATAAATAAATCTTTTAGAAAGAGAGAGAGAGAGCGAGAGAGAGAGAGAGCGAGAGAGAGAGAGAGAGAGAGAGAGAGAGAGAGAGAGAGAGAAAACTAACATGAATGTACGGAGATGGAAGAGTAGCTGGTCTCAAAATTCTGGAGCTGAATATATCCCCAATGAGCTGACTTACAGAAATCCCTAACATTAGAAGAAACTGGCATTCATAAGGTAATTAACTGGAGACACAGGGACATGTACTGCTATTTATAAAACTAGAAAGCAAGGGACAAGAGAGATGGTGTTCACAGCTCTTACAGAGGACCTAAGGTTGTTTCTCAGAACCCAAGCCAGGTATCTCACAACTTGTAACTCCAGCTCCAAGAAATCCAAAACCCTCTCTCTGGTCTCCCCCAGGAACCCACATACATGTGCAAATACAGTCACACAGATACACCAAAAACACACTTAAAAAATAAGACAAATCTTTAAAAAAAAGAAAAAAATTCAATTATAAATACGGGAGCAGTAGAGATCGCTCAATCGTTACAATACTTTCTTCATTTGCTTCTGGCTACACAAATTACAAATACGATGTAAGATGAAATAACTACAAATAGAAATGGCCATTTTAAGGAGCAATGTACAAACACGGCTTCCAAGACCTCATCAAGGGATAACTATACTTACAGACTTGGTATTTTCCTCAATGTCCTCAATATCATCCCCCTCCTTCTCAGAGTCAGCAAACAGGTCACCATCATCATCCTCTTCCTCATCACTCATCCGGGTGGTGTGCTGAGAATGCAAAACCAGATTACTAAATGCAAGTCATCAAACTGAAAAGGAGACACTATCAATCTTTAATCTCTCCCCTTTAAAAAAGGTAACCACACTTGGAACACACATTCCACTCCATTTATTTATTAGAAAGCAGCCAAGCCGTGGCGGTACATACCTTTAATCCCAGCAGGTAGTGGCAGGTAGATCTCTGTGAGTTCAAGGCCAGCTGGTCTACAGAGCTAGCTCTAGGACATCCAAGGCTACACAGAGGAAATCTATCTATCTCACCACCACCACCACCCCAAAAAAAAGAAAGAAAAGGAAGGATTTACTTTTTTTGTTTTTTGCTTTTTTCAAGACAGGGTTTCTCTGTGTAGCCCTGGCTGACCTGAAATTTGCTCTATAGACCAGGCTAACCTTGAACTCAGAGTTTTGCCTGCCTTTACTTTTTAATGAGAATACAAGATCATGCTTGCTTTGGCAGCAATATACTAAAAATTGGAACGATACAGAGAAGATTAGCATGGCCCCTGTGCAAGGATGACACAAAAATTTATGAAGTGTGCCATATACAAAAAAAAAGAATACAAGATCAAAAAATTTAAAGCAAAGTATTAGAATATTGAAAATATTCATTATTAGAAGAATGTAAATTAGTCTCAACAAGAACAGGAAGTGATGATTAAAAGAAGCTAATAAAAAGGAGCAAAATTTGGAAAAGGTAATATCCAAAGGAGGTGGCAAATCTAAATATACAACATATTTAGAACTACCTGAGGAGCATGAAAAAGCCTCAATACATCATTCCAAAGTCAGTTTAGAGACTTGCAAGACAAACACGGCACAGAGCTGGCCAAGCATATCTGAGACCCTAGGTCCAATCCCGAGTGCCAAGCAGAAAGAAAAGGCATCTTAGTATACCTATTATGCTTCAATTAAAGCTTTAAAATGAATTCAGTTCAATACATGACCTTTACCTGGTTTTGATCATTGTCACTACGGCTGGCAAAATCTTCATCTGATTCCTGTGGGTAAAAAAATGTTTTGCTGTTAACACAGAAAAGACCAGGTTGGTCTCTGAGGTAAGCTGACTGTGTGAGGCACAGGGAAAGCTCTTACACTTAGTCACCGTAAATAGCAGACAAGATGAATAACTAGCAATCCCGAGAGAGTTGCCTAGCTGCTGGAATTTTTATGCTTCATTTAAATAGCTCTAATTACTCATATCATTTGTATTTTCCAATTTTAAACTTCAGATTTAAAGAGAGATCTTTTAATTGAGTCAGAAGGTAGGTTTGGGTTGCTTTACATTTTGGACTACAATCTCTGTGTTCCCTCTAGCAGGATAAGTACTTCATTAAGCTCAAGAATTGAATGTCAGTGTTTGCTACACTGATTTGGTAAAGATTTGCACTGACAGCTAAAAACAAAGGACTCAGCAGATAATTATCTACAGCAAAGTAACAGGCAAGCTTATTTCTATAGCGAGGATTTCTACTTGCAGGGCTGGAGGAAGAAATGCAGGAGACAGCCAGGCATTGGTGGCGCATGCCTTTAATCCCAGCACTCGGGAGGCAGAGGCAGGCGGATCTCTGTGAGTTAGAGGCCAGCCTGGTCTCCAGAGCGAATGCCAGGATAGGCTCCAAAGCTACACAGAGAAACCCTGTCTCGAAAAACCAAAAAAAGAAAGAAAGAAAAGAAATGCAGGAGACGGGGTGGGTAGGAGAACAATTAAGAAATGAAAATCAGGCACACAAAATGGTCTCCTTTTAGGATCTCATACTCATTGTCTGTAGAAACAACTCAAGGACCCAGACTCTAGATGAAGATTTTACTCTGTGGACCTTAAGACACTAGCAAGCAAACATGAAATACATGCTTTCATTAGAAGGCTTAAAAAAACTATTCAGGAACTGAAGGGATGGCTCAGTGGTAAAGAGAGTATGCTGTTCTTGCAAGGGACTAGAGTCTGAGTCTCAGTACTAACATCAGGCAGCTCACAACTGCCTGTAACTCAGGCTCCAGGGGATCTGACATCCTCTTCTGGTCTCCACAGGTACCTGCACATACTTGCACTCACATGTGTTCAAGCGCTCAAACACACATACACGCACACAAATAACAGTAATGATGATGATGGTGATGGTGATAATAAATCTTTTAAAGTTGTTTGTGCACATACACACACAACAACAAAAACAATAATAATCTTATAAAAAGTTCTTCATTGCAGCTCTTTATTTTTTTTCTAGGATTTTTCAAGGAGAACATATTCCAAGACTAAGCTTCAGGCAGAGACTGTACCACAGTGTCTAAGCTGTTCTCTCCTCAAAATATAAGATGTGAAGGAATTAGGTAGAAAGGAAGGCAGGTGGGTAACAGTAAAAGACATCAAAGCAGTTTCCCTTACTTCTCTCTGTACAAATTACAAAAAAGAATTTCAACCCTAAGAAAACACTTCAGATTCTGCCCCTTCAGTTTTCTGAAAACAGTTCACTAATTCTGAAGCATGTCACCCGCTTAGCCTGTGCCACACATCCTAAGCTTCCTGTCACCGTGGCCTGGTCAAACCATGTCCTTACCTCCTCTTCCTTCTCTTCTTCACTGTCCACAATACTTCCCCGGTCGCTGCCTACAGAGCCTTCTGTTGGGAAGAAGTGTAAAAGTCAACACCAATTCACCAGAAATACCTGTAGCTCCTTCTCAGATTCCAACCACAACAGCACCAAGGAGACTTTAATGAAGCCAGTGCCACGTAGTGAATGAAAGCATGTTGGCTAATCACACCATTTCAAAGTACCTCCCACTCGTTAAAAAATTATAACTTGGCCTTTTTCTACAAGGATGTTACAGTTACAAAAACATGAAGAAACCATAGCAGACTAAAAGTTGACTAGCAGTGACAAGTAAAGGTAATTGCCACCAGTCCTGATGGTTGGAGTTTAGTCTCTGGAATTCACAGAATGGAACAGAGAACGGACTCCCATAGGTGGACCACACTCACGTGCGTACAAAAAATAAATAAAATAAAATGAAAATAAAAGGTGACTACAGCACTTTAACAACTAAATGCTTTAAGTCTTAGAGCAGAGGCGATGACATGGGTAACCAAGGACAGAAATGGGAAGAGACAGAATCTGATATATTTGATATATTGGGTAACAGTAAAGTTTCTTGAAACTGGTTTTACAGTGTGGTTATGTTAAGAAAATGTCCTTGTTCTTAGAAAATATACAGTGAACACTAGGGTAATGGAGGGTCAGACAAATTATGACACACAGATAATGGAAGCACAAAGTAAAACACTAGATGGCAAACTTGAGAGAGGATCTATTGATCTATTGATCTATCCACTGCTCTTGCAATATTAACAAAGGTTTAATTATTTTAACACAAAAAGTTAAGATATGTTTAACATGACAAAAACATTGGTGAGAAAGTACCTTCACTGGACAGTTCTCCAAGCCCCACATCTTCCTGTTCCATGAAGAGCTTTGACCCAATGAGATAGGGCAAAGGGCGGTCAATGTAGAGATCCTTCAAGGAAGGGAAGGATACAGCCATTAAACACACCGGTTAAAAATAAAGCCCATGTCAGAACACAGTCCAAAAATGGAGTCATGTGAGGAGATTTCTGAGTGCTTATGAGAAAACTCCAGGAAAACAAGACAAAAGTCTTACTACCTCATTTTCTTCAAAAACTCAGAATTATTCTTGGAATGTACTTTTATGCCCCTCCAAGGTGTCGCAGCTAGCTAGGAATGAGTAACTTCAGATTGTCATCAGGCTATTGTTACTTATTCATTATTATTTACTCATATGCATCTATGGGGAAACATGTTTTTGCCATGTGCAACTTGTCTTCTGAACCTTCAGAGAATAAATTGTCTGATGTTTTGAATAAAGTTGGTTATTACCTGAAACAAATAAATTCAAGTGTTACACTGGACATTCTGCTGCATCTAACTATCCCAAACAACTTAAGGTGATAAATAAAAGTAGAAAATAAGAAACCTGGTAAGGTTAAACATCATTGATTTTTAAGAACATTAAATCCTAGGTAAAATTAGCAAGATAAAGCTGACTCCCTCCCCAAATGCCTCAGTAATATATATGTGTGTATATATGTTTCTTTTATTAAAAGTTAATAACAAATAAAACTTCAGTTTTAAAATAAAAATGAGCCACAAGATGGCTGGGTGGGTAAAGACCTGCAGACTGGAGTCCAATCCCCAGAACCCATGTAAAGTTAGGAAAGAACCTACTCCAGAGTTGTCTTCTCTCAGTCATGAGCCACGGGACATGCACGCCCCATACAAACACATCAATGACAAAGTTTAAGTACTTAAAAATTAAATGTGGCTGGGCAGTAGTGGCACACACCTTTAATCCTTGCACTTGGGAGACAGAGGCAGGGGAATCTCTATAAGTTCAAGGCAGCCTGGACTACAAAGTGAGTTTCAGGATAGCCAGAACTGTTACACAGAGAAACCCTGTCTAGAAAAACAAAAACAACAAATAATAACAATTCATTTTAACTGGGCATTGGTGGCACATGCCTTTAATACCAGCACTTGAGAAGTAGAGGCAGACAGATCTCTGTGAGTTTGAGGCCAGCCTGGTCTATAAAGCAAGTGCCAAGAGAGGCTCCAAAGATACACAGAGAAACTCTGTCTTGAAAAACCAAAATAATAATAATAATAATAATAATAAATTTTTAAAAAACTAACCAAATCCAAATCAATTACAAATCTCATCCTTTACCTTACCTTCTCAGCTATAAGTCTGTTTTGTCTCAGGGTTCTGAGAATAATTGCTCATGTAAATCCCTCCTCTCCCACAGACTATACTAAAAAGCTTAGAAGAAGAGAAGGTATACCCTGAAACTTTTACCTATCTTGTACCACTGAAATGTTCAGCGAGTCAAGTAAGGCTCTCAGAGGAGTCAACTTGGAAATGCCCATGCCTTACACATCCTGTGCCTGGCAAAGCAGTCAAGACATCATAATATTGTAACTGAATGCCTTTACCTTTGGTTCAAGGATCAGTTCCACCCGCTCATTGGCATCTTCTTCCTCAGAGTCTGAGTTCCCCGCTTTTATGTCAAGTTGCTCGAAGGCACTATCCAGCACCTGTAACCCATAGTTCACAGCCTCCCGGACCTTAGGGATCAGGTCTACTTCTTTCTGTTCCCGAGTCTTCTCCTACAAACAAAATATCCTTCAGTGTGTCTCCAGTATGCCAATTCCCAAGTCATGCCCTCCTCCAGAACTTTTAATTCAAAGTGTTAACACAGTCATTTTCTGATGCAGACTTTGGAGTAAATGCACAAGTTTTTACATCTCTGTTTTGTTGATATCTGGACATACATCAAACCACTTAAACTCTAGAATCCCAACATTCAAAATAGAAACCAACACTGAGTGTGAAAACACATTTATGAACAAAATGTGCTTAATGCCTCTTACCTCTGACATGTATTAGGAAACACTGCCAATCAATTGTTCCTCTAGTCCTGTGGCGCTCAGAGAATATATACTAATCACTTTTAAATGTAATGCTGGCTTGATATAAC